GGTTCGCACGGGGCTACTGGTGGTTTCCCAGGCAATCCCGGAGTTCCTGGAGCACCTGGCTTACCTGGTTTACCAGGCTTACCTGCAGCTCCTGGTGGGCCTGGTGGTCCAGGCAAACAGCATCCATCACACTGACCACCACTTGCGCTACTACTGGCATCAGCGCCGTACCCTGCTTGGCGAGCAGTCCTGTTTGCAGCACTACTTTGCGGCAAGTTTTTCAAGTTGTTAACTTGAACAAAGATATCTTGCGCTGACCCCTACAAAAACTTCCGTTTACAAAAGCAAGGCTGCTGGAAAACTACAAAGGTAAACGTCTAGAAGAGTTGATGAGTTGCTCTGACTTATAAAGTTTTTTGGTTTTTACTTTGTGAACTATAAGTCTGCTACCGAAACATTCAGTTTTGGGAAGTAAATTGATCAGTGATACTGAAGGTGACTGCATACAAATGCAAAAGATACATTACGGTACCAAGATCAAAAAAAGTGAGGATAAAATGAATAACGAATTAGTAAAGCGAAAAAAATAAATAGAAAAATAAACAAAAATATTTTCAAAAAGAACTATTAACCTTGCAGAAATTGATTTCATGATGCATCTGCTGCTTCACATTGTTGACATAGTTATAGACCATAGGAAGTGTGACCAAAACCGATAAAACAGCAACGAATGAGAATAATACAGCGCAATAGGTAACAAATTTATACGCATTTATGCGTATATCTTTGCCCATTTTGGCAGAGTAGCACCGAGAACCCGCTGATTTACGTTACCTTTGCTCCAACCAATAAAATTACAAGATCTATTCCGACTGAGCAAACCTGGCGTCTTAAATACCTCTAGTTTATGAAGTATCGACCCATATCTGTTCTGTTACAGTTCTCCGTTGTTTCACTTGACGACAAGTAGGTCGACCGCTTTGGCCACTCCCGTCCAATATTCGTTCACCTTCGCAGTCGTCTCTTTTATTCTCAATTTATCTTCAATCTAATCATAATTTTCTTGCGTGACGTGCATAATTGTTTTGTCTCTGTCGTTATGTATATAATAATTATTTGAAGACATTGTCTTGCGGAACAAACCACTGTAAATAAATTTTGTCAACTTTAAAGGGCCAAGTTTATGGAATTAAGTTCTAAATAATTTTGAACAAAGAAGACCAATTTGGAATCGCGTTATGCCGTTTAAAAAACACTCCTGAAATCAATTTCTTTGATTTCTATTTCCGAAGATTTCTTCTAACGCAAGTTTAATTAAATGAATTCCTTTATCACTCTCAACTCTTGCTGTTTAAATTGTAATAATAATGAAAGCAGCAGGAATATTTTTGATAGTGTTGTACGGACGAAATTTGTTGGAATGTCTTTTCCACTGCACTACTTCTTTTAGCTGAATTCTTTAAGCAAGATCTTTATAGAACCAGATTTAAAAGCATGTTTTATGAAGACAACCTTGGAAACGAATGCAAATACCAATGGCAATGTATCACTTTGTCCTCTTATTCACCATTGTTTAAATCAGAATGCAGTGTGCATTAGACAGTGAGCTTTGCAAAACGTTAATGAACGGTCAGAATTAAACATTCGGAGTCAAACTAAAGTAGAAAAGAGGAATATTTATACAACCTGCAATTTATAGTCTAATATATTTTCATATCAAAAGGTAGCTTTTTTTTTGAACCAGGTCAGCAGCTACAGCAAATTAACTGGTCACACAGCTAAGCACTAGGGCGCCCACAAAGTGTCCTAAAACCGCTCACTTTTCTTTACCACAGTTTCTTCTTTAAGCGACGCCTAAAAAGAAACTTCACGAGAGTAAGTTCCCCTGTTTATGCTCAGTGACATTCAAAAGAAAAGAATTAATTTCGTCACAACAATGCTTTTGCAGGACTGCTTCAACAAATATTGGAAAAAAGGCTGCCATAATATGGAAAACACCTTTGATTTCAAACCGTTATAATGCATTACTGCATTTGTGACTGGGCAGAGAGATCGAGAAGTGGCTGCAGCCGTTTTCTAGACTTGAAAGAATGCTTACAGCAGCGGAAAATTTGAAAATAAATATTGGTTATTCGAACTACGGCAAACCAGCGCTATATAAAGTCAGTTCCTATCCCGAACGCCTAATGGTACTAAATAAATTGTTAACTATCTTTGAGAACTTCACATAATCTTTTTGCTTTTGAGTCCCGTAGTCTCATTTTCAAATTTTTTCAGCGTTATCTTCAGTAGAAAAACAGTATTTAGTTTTGAAAGCCTTTCACAACAAAAAACATTTAAAAACCTTTCCTATAACTCAGTTCCGATGAGCCACCAACAAAGCCATTGTCTAATCAGCAAATTTCAGTTCTATCACTGCGATTTGACTTTGACTAATGACAGAAAGTAAGCTGAGTTACAAAGAGATAAATCCCAGTAGGAGAAGAAACACAAAACTTGGTAAAATTTCATTTTATTAGAGCATAAGAATAAAGTTGAAAACGCCTCTTTTAGTATGACCATCTGATTTATTGTACGGCGCGGTGGCACGGTTATCAATATGTAAGCTAAAATCTTTATCTCACTATAAATTACATCAAGATGGTACTGAGTAAGAACCAATGTCTAAGCGCATTTTTTATTGAGGTCGGGAAATAACAGACAAAACCCAACAACTTAACTTACTGTAAAGTAAAAATGAAGTGCTAGTTATTTAATAAGCGACGCGATTAACACATAAATTCTGTGTTTCGTGCCCTCCTTTCGTTACAAAGACTAGCTTCAAAAAACAAGGTGACAGAATCTTTAAAGACCCTAAGGAATTTGGTTACAATACCTTGAATCATATTAAACAAAACTGTAATTTCAAAGAAAAAAAAAGCAACCGTTCAACCATGCTTCTGGCAATCTCATGCAAAACTGTTCCACCTCGTCAACCACAACAGTTTTAAAATGAAAAGAACAGTCAAACTTAAAGCCGCAAAACATTTCAGCAATTGCCCGCACATAGCCAATTTACAAAACCCAAAATAAAAACGACGAAATGCCAATGTAATGTAATAATGGCCCTAGAAAACGAGAATAATACATAAAGACCGCAACTTCTCAAAAGGGTGCTTCAATTTATTAAACTGAGGAACTATAGACAATATTTTAAGAAAAACGTTAACGAGAAAAGATGCAACTCACAAAGAAATACGGTCCAACACAATGGCCCATGAAATCATTGCGAGTATTGTTGTTCTTCTGTTGTTGCAGCAGCGCATTAATTTGAAATTTGAAAGCATATTGAGAAGATCAGCAACGATGGCCGGCATGAAAGAAAAACTTTCAGTTTAAATCCTAACTCAGAATAACCTTTACAA